ATAATATCTAATATATCATTTTCTACGTATTTTGACCAGCTAAATGCGAGAGCGTAGACAAAATTTATGTACGATCGGTCAGTACCTTGTAAAATCTACATTTAGGGTGAAAATGGTCCCAAAAATTGCTCTATCATAGTCCAAAATTGATTTTGCTCTACATAATATCCGAGATATAATTTCCGATGCATTTTGACCAGTTAAAAACAATACTGTAGTCAAAATTTATGTACGACCGACCAGTATCTTGTAATATATATAGTTAAGGTAAAAAAGGACATAAAAAATGCTCTATCATAGTCCAAAATTGATTTTGCTCTACATAATATCTGAGATATAATTTCTTACGTATTTTGACCGGCTAAAAACGATACCATAGTCAGAAATTATGCATGACTTGTATTTAGGGTAAAAACGGATTAAAAAATTGCTCTATCATAGTCCAAAATTGATTTTGTTCTACATAATATCTTAGATATAATTCCCGACGTATTTTGAAAACGATACTGTAGTCATAATTTATGTACGACCAACTCAAAAATTGGTCAATGATAGTCCAAAATTGATTTTGCTCTACACCTGTACCTAACTTTCCTTGATCAGTTTTAGAAAATTGGGCAGATCAAATTTAAGATTTAGGAAATCTCTTCTTTATTTTCATAATTACATGGTGATATGACAGCGCTTGTATAATCAATATATTATTATAATATAGGTAGGTAAGTGTAGAGGTTTGAGGTACGTACCTGTCTAATAACTTGTACCCCAGATAAATTATTAATATTATAAACAACGATTGTGAATTTTATTACATAGTTATTTATCTACTAGGTAACTATTTTTTTAAGCATTCAATGTAACTAACCTCTCGATAAACTAAAATTACTGAAAAATCCACTGCGTAAATTTCAGTGCGTAAATATTCTGTTAACGAATAACGTCATTATACCAAAAGAGACACATTCTGGACACAAACATAGATATGATCTAATTGTACCCAAATTTAGGGCAATCTCCTCCCACATTACCAGGCCAGGAAGTAATAGGGCTATTATAATGCCGTACCTAGTGGGTAGGGGAGCGTTTTTTCACCCGGAGGGATCAAGTTTCAACGTAGCGCGTGTCCAATAGTAATAGCGCGAGCCCCATAGGCTCCTCCTTTACTGCTATCTAAAATTCTATTGGTCATAGCAGCCTTTATGAGGCACATGTCGGCAGATAGAAGGATGTGATTAATTGGTCCCCAGCGTCTAGCGCCCGTCGTTATATGTCGGCAGAGGAACGGGGATAGCAGGTAAGGGTACTTCCCCTGTTGTGTTCGGAGCTATTATTATTATGCCATGGCTGGCTGGGCAGGCCGGGTAAAATTAGAAAATGACGGTTTGTGCCAGGGAGAGAGGATTGTTGTACGGCTTTGATTGATCTTGGTTGTTGCCATGAAGGTTAGACTGCTCTGTTGAGGTTATTTCAATGAAACATTGCAAGGGACTTTCCTTTAAATAAGGGATGAATCCACCACCGTGAAACAATTTTTTCACAGTATAGATATTTTGGGATTAATATACCTTCTTAGAAACATTACAATGCAGGGAAGACTAACTTAATTATTTACTACAGCACAAAATGCCTAAATCGTCACAAAAATTTTCCTACCCCTCTATTTTCAAGGGTGCTGCACATAAATCTGGAAGTATTTTTGTGCGGTCGAACCTAGTTTTCGAGAAAAAAAATTCAAAATTCTAATCCGGATATTTTACAGAACGACACTGTATACAGCTTTCAGAACATCTGTGAAATGAACAGTAAACATTGTTTAAGAAACACATTTTCTCGAATTTCAAGTTAAAAAGTATATATTTTAATAAATAAAAATTATTTTTTGCTTCAATGAACACAGATGAAGAGGGTGGGAGAACTTCAATGACGTTACGAATTGCTAATGGCGGATTGATACAAGAAATAATTTTTGTACCTATACCTACATATTAAATATTTTTTACTTGAAATTTGCGAGTACAAGTGTACCTATAGTCCAGTCGGGAGAGGCCGAAAAGTTACTGTTGGCGACATTTTCTTGATAACTCGGAAATAACTACACAGGAATACTTTAAATGATGAGTACAATAACAGGTTAATTTGCTGACAAAGGATTTTATCAGGAAAAAAGTTATTAACAATTTAATCGTAAAGGTTTTATACGTCACCGTTTTTTTAATTTTTGGAAAAATATATACTTATGTATATTTATAAAATATACACCGATTTTTTTACAGTGTAACAACAAAATTAATTTTACACAGTGCTTGTGTTCTAATTCGCACATATTTTAGTTTTTCTAGGTAACTAAAAATTGTGTTGATAAACTAATTTCTTTATGAAAGTCTTCACTCAAAATTCAACACCAAAATACTTAATTTTACTCATAAATATACCTACATTTTTTTTAATGGAAGTTGTATATTTGTTATAAAAGTTATTATTTATAATTATACATATTATTGTAGATAAAGAATTTAATAAGTTTATTTGTTTCAGTGTAAGTTAAAATCACTATATTACCTGTTTGAGAGCAGGAATTGAAGACGATTTTTTCCTGTGTACAATGGGCTTTTCATTTTTGAGTTACAGTGTATTAAAAATTATTTCTTTAAATTAAATTTAGCTGCGGGTATATTTTCCAAAAAAGAATGAAATGCGTTGAAATTTGGCACAAATAAGTTTTTGAGGGTGGCAAATATTTTTCTTGAACATTTGCTAGATNTACGACTGTCAGGGGAGAACACAACTTGGTCACGTGATTGGAATAATTTTTAAATAATATATTTTACTATTGAACTGATAATAGTTTTAAACTATATAAAAATTTAACTTTTATAACCAGCTGGTTCACATTTAAGAAATTATATATTTGGAATAATTTTCCTTTAAAGTTTAATTGTAACGTTAGATAGGCCAATATAAAATAATATTTATTAAATAAAAACGAATATAAATTTGTATTAAAAATTTATTCTTTTAATTCGCCTAACAAATATTCTAAAATCATAAATGGTTATATTAAATCTAATTTGTTAATTATAGACAAATCTGTTGCAAACTGTTTCTTTTTTTAATTCAAACAAATCAAATGACTTGTATTGAATGTAACTGGTTTATCTCAATGTAACTAGCATAAATGTAAACTAACTGCATTCAAAACAACCGATTCCTTTAATAGAAAGTAATTGTTTTTTCAGTGTATAGCTAGTTGTTGTCAAGATGGCAACTTATAGGATCTGTTCTTTTCATACCTACTGTTGTTACCATTATTAAATTTGGTTAAATCACAAAAAACTTGCTTAAGAGCAGCGCTCTCGAATAAATGGCGCCCTTAGATTTCTTACATCAAATAGATTCGTAAGAGATCATCATTAGAATCCGATTTTTTTTTTGAGTAACTTTGTAACTATAAATATTTGGCACTTTGTATCAACTGCTGCTATTTTGCTGTTACAGCTTTGGCCATAGCCAACTGTGCAAAACTGATTTTATTAAAATGTAAGTAGTTAAGTATCCGGATACATAAAATAAATATTTAGAATGTAGGAATATTCGTATGTTTCCATTTGGTCACCATTATTCTTCATTTATATTCCAATTGCTATAACTTAGCCCGTCTTAAAAATCACGTAAAATAAATTAATTTGTAATTCTTTGGTATCTCTTCAAATAAATAGGATAATGGAGGCTAATAATTTCTAACACTGCATTCTGATTCTTTAGCACCTTCTCATTTACCCCCTTTTAAGTTTGTATTTTTTGTAATATTCTGGCAGCATCACCAGCTCCGTGAGTTTCTTGAGTTTCAAATCGCTAGGTGCATTAAGCTTGCGCAAGAACGATTTCGGTCCGAAGAACGGAAAGGCACACAGCCAGAGTACATTTATCAAATGGAGGCAACGCCTGCACCGGGGTAGAGCCGTCTAATAGGCATACAAGTCTAGATAACTACGCCCAATTTTATGGGGCTTTGATGCTGGTGGTCTATAGGTCCGGCTGTTCATAGGAGCAGCCTAGAAAAACACAGTTTATTTGGCAGAGGATATTCAGATGCGTTATTTTTGCATTTGGAACAAAGAAGTATGTGAAAATTTCATTATAGATCGGCATTTTAGTTCGTTTTGAATATTTTCTGCAAAACTAGTGAAAGTGTAACAGTAAAACAACCAAAAAATTAAGGATTTTCTGACATTTGACTATAAAACATTCAAATACCACATAGGTATAGGTAGGTACCGCCCAAATAAAATCATTTTTGAGATTGTGGTTGTCGAAAATAATAAATTTATACAAAACGAGTTGACTATTTCCACTTAAAAATGCGCTTTACTGGCAAAGATCCAAAAACAGCTTATGTGACAACGTAGAGAGAAGAGAGAGGAGATTTTCTAAAAAGAAGTAAGAGATTATAAAGTGGAATTGTAGATAAAAGAAAGAAGTCGGAAAAGAGAGAAGTGGAGCAATATAACTAGGTAATAATAACGAAATAAAGACAACAAAATGATGTGGATGTCAGTTGGCGGGTTTCAACCAGGACAGCGAAGTGAATTAATTTCAGCACTGTTAATCTTAGTTAATCATTTATGAGTGATTTATTTTTGCACTCAGTATTTAGTTCTTCTTTGCAGTGTAACAATCTACCGTCAGAATCAGGTATTTTCTTTAATCTAACAATTCTTGGTACCTACAACTACTTTATTTATTTCGAACTAGAACAGGAAGACTATACAGAAGATAGAAAAACCCAAAATATACAATTTTATTTCAAATAAGGTACAATTTTCAATAAAATCAAGTATACTGTATCACTACGAATTTTTCTCCCCACCAAATTGGCTTCATAAGACAGACTGTTCCTTGCAATTGTTATATCTTCACATGTCTAACCAATAAAACGGTTGTAACTGTGTCCAAATCTATTATCCAACAGTTTCCGTGTCTAACATTTCTGTTTTTTGCAGTTCACCAAAGTACAGACCTGCTGGAGGACTGCCAGAAGCTGTTGGAGAGGTTCAAGTACCCCTGGGAGATGATGCCCCTGATGTACGCCATCCTTAAGGACGCCAGAGCGGACCTGGAGGAAGCTTCTAGGAGGATTGATGAAGGTCAGTCATAAGCTATCCAAAATTTAAGCAATCTCTCTAGTAATATACTGGTTTAGTCTGTAATAAGTCTACTAAGTTCAATCAATTGTTGTTTAGAATTTACAGTTTAGTTGTATTTATGTATCTGAATTAGTTGAAATGAAATCTAGAATATTATTTAGTTACTCAAACACTAGAGTGAACTCGAGTAAGAGTGGAATAATGTTGATTAACTTGAATTTGAATATTGTACCTACTAAAATATTCTCATAACTAAAGAACATGTACCTACAAATATTGAACCGTAAATGTTTGCATTTTGAGGTAATAAATAAATAGAGACAGTGTTGTCAATTGAATCAATGTCAATTGTAACAAGTTCATGCGGTGTCATCAATTAGGTTATGATAAATGTTGCTACTTAGTTTCCTCTTCCCCTTCAGTTGTAGTTAAAGCTCACTGCTTTAGCTGAGCTTTAACTACTATTAAGTGTATTACTGCTACTTTGTCAATAAAAAATATTTTAATACAAAGTATTACTTTGTTACTTTTTGCAGTTTGTTACAACGTCACCTTAACGTGTTACAATTGACAATGACCTAGTGTTAATTGTAACTAATGACGGCACTAGCGGAATTTATTTTTCTGTAAATTATAAATCGTATTTAGATTTGATAAGCATGTACGGACGCTCTGTCATTAAATTTACAAGAAAATGGCCCAATGTTTCAGGCTCCAATTCGTTACTGTTACAATTGACACTGCTGTTTATAGATGTCTGTCTTTAGTTTTGTTCAGGTTCACTCTAAATAGAATATCTTCAAAAGTATTCCATTGCATTTAGATAATGTATCTCATGTCTATTAGATCTTAAAGGGTAGGTCTTTCTTAATGTGTTAGTATGATGTTAAATAAAAAAATTGTAATTTAGTAATATGTCTTAGGTTTTCCTAAATAGTTGTATTTACATAGAATAACAGAATTGTAGATATTAAAATAAGTGACGTAGAATACAATACTGTATGCTTGAGTTACTGAACAAACTTATTACTTATACTTTTATCTATGGCATATACCACTGGAAATATTTCACTATCTAACACACTGTTAAGGTACTTCTGTTTGTCATTTTATATTTGTTGTTTAATTGCCTAAGTCTTTGCTAATCCTAAAATTGTTGATAAAACGTCTTTATTTTGTTTTCGTTGAGCACAGACTTTTAATAAAGTATTTTTCGCATTAGGGTATAATACTCCAGTGGAATTAGATCATAAAACCTAAAAACTTGAAAACTTAAAAAAATTATTAGTATTGCATTTTATGACGGGGGAGGCTAGGTAGAATGATAATATTAAAAAAGTATCTCTTCAAAAGAGACGCTAAGTTGGTAAATTGCAAATAAGTTGCAAATATACGTGTTTTTTCACCTTCTACTGTCCACGAAAATCTAGACGACCTAGCGGAATATTAGTTATTTTATGCTGTAGACTTTCCTACAATTTAAAATACCTATAGTCATTGTTCGCTAATTTGTTAACTGTAAAATAAAGGTCGAAAATTGCGCATCATTATTGCAAAAGGCGATGGATGTTGATGACGTTTATGGGAAAGATGGTCAATCCAAAAAGCAACATGTGTGCCAAAGACCAATTCGATTGACCGTGAAATTGTTGCTCCCAGCCCAGCAATTTGTTAATTAATTCCCATCGTTTTTTTTTCAAATGATTGTTTAATTACTAATTAGGTACTGTAGATATAGGTTTTAATTGATCCAAAGGAACGCATCAAAATAGAAAATTTTCAAAAAATTGAAATTAAGTAACTCTTTACAATTAACAAAACGTGCAAAACAGTGTTAAATAAACAAATTGTCCCAGGGTCAGGCAAAAGTCGCTCGGGAATTCGCTCTTTTTGCATTAAATAGAGCTCCAGAGATACCTTTTTTTTGTAACGTTAATTGTTTACTAACTATTGGACGTATCGGACCGGGATTTTAGAGGCAATTGAAGAAAGGGTTAAATTATTATTTTCAAGAAGTTTTACATTGATAGTTCATGAAATAAACGCGCTAGGAGTAGTAAAAGTTAACATCAATAAACGGCCCGCACGCGGGAGAGAGAGCGCCTGGCCCACGCATGCGCGGTAACGCCGCCCTCGTCGCGCTCGAGATTTTTTAACCGAATTTGAGACGTTCAAGTAAAAAATCTACTAATAATTTTTTCGCGTTCAAACTCTAATTCGACTGGAGTATAATAAGTTTCTCATCACTTTTTGCAAGTTTCTACTCCTTTCTTACTGGCTCGTGAACCAAAATATCTACATATGATTTTTTAGAATTGTTAGTTTCTTCAGGCCTCCATTCTATTCCAAAACAGGAGTGAGAAGTCTAAAGCTTGTGTGAACATACCTAGAAACAATATTCACATTTCTTTATTCAAACACATTTTCATCAATCTTTCTATATTTTCTAGAAAAGGAAAAGTTCCAAATAGTCCAATCAATCTGTCACGGCATTTTGTTAAATTTACAAACAATACCACCTGGAAACAAAAAATATGGTGATATAGGATAAAAAAATCTCAGAAAGATAGTGTATTTTTCCTGCGGCGTACCTATAAACGGCAAATTAACCTAAAAAAATTCATAAAAGTAAAAAAAAACGGTTTTTCGCTAAGAAAAAAAACTTTAACTCCAATCGAAAAAAGTTAAATGAGAAAGTTGTAGCTATTAAAAAAACCTATCGATTCGTGTTTTCAAATATATCGATTGTTATATTACTTTTCGAGATATATCGTAAAAACCGTCAAAAATCGACTTTTTTGTTTTTGCTGTATCTCTTGCAAATTAAGGTATTGAAACTTTTTACTTCCTGCAAATGTAGTCATCGGCAAGCCAAAGAAGTACCTTTTTTAAAATTAAAAAATATTAAAAAATTTTCAAGTAAAAAAAAAGTAAAAATTTTTTGGTCGCGTTTTTCTTGAATATATTTTTCGATTTTCATTTCTCGATAATGTCTATTACAAGAATCGACTACTAGCATTTTTACGCGAATTTAAAACGTGGTATAAAAATATTCGTCGATTAAATTTTTATTTTCACAGCTTATGTAAGTATATCACCCTTATGTTTCAATTCTTCTTCTCTTCAGTACACTCGATTGTGATTCATATTTTTCGTCTTCCATGATATCGTTTGCTATATTTCCTGAGCAATCAACTTAATTTTCCACATAATTCGTTTCATCAATGAGCGGTTCAAACGCGTCAAAAGAATCAGCGTCTAATTGGGTGTTTAGTGTTTCAAAATTTTCACATCGGGAAGCATCGCAATGTAAAGAAACACTTGTACCTTCAAAAAAATACCTCAGTATACACTGGTATTTATATTTTTTATTATAAACAATTATTAAAATGATAACAAAGAAAAATTAGGCCGTCGTATATTTTCGTTTATCTCGTCGAGAACAATTGATTACTGTAATAGGCATTATCGAGAAATGAAAATCGAAAAAGACATTCGAGAAAAACGCGACCAAAAATTTCTACTTTTTTGAAAGTCATCTTTGTACACTTGAAATGAATAAAATCGTTATCTCCCTTTTTACCATGAAAGTACAACCCTTAAGGAAAAAAGTGAGACCTGACTCGTTTCTCTACGACTATTTATCGAGCAAGAACAGCCGATTTCCGAGATGACCTTTTTTTCGAAAAATCGATATAACTCGAAAATTTTTTATTATTTTTTAATTTAAAAAAAGGCACTTTTTTTGCTTGCCGAGGGCTATATTTACAGCTAGTAACAAGTTTCAAAACTCTAATTTGCAAGAGATACAGCAGAAACAAAAAAAGTCGATTTTTGACAGTTTTTTCAATATATCTCGAAAAGTAATATAGCAATCGCTATATTTAAAAATACAAATAGATATGTTTTTTTAATAGCTACAACTTTCTCGTCTAACTTTTTTCGATTGGAGTTCAAGTTTTTTTTTTATTAGCGAAAAACCGTTTTTTGACTTTTATGAATTTTTTAGGTTAACTTCGCCATTTATGCTCTTCTACCTATTTAATGGACTAAAAGACAAATTAATCGATGTAGTAAAATGGTGGTATCTTGGTATATCACTGTATAATAAGTTTCGTTGGTTCTGAATGAATTCTGTTCGGTAACTCAAGTGCAGATGATGTAACATGTAAAATAAAGGCTTTTATCGTTAATATAGGCAAGCGCGTGGTCAACGAATATTCCAGGATGCACAACCTCAACATGTACGACGGCGGGGAGCTGCGGAATTCGACCCGTCAGTATGGATGATTAAAAAATTAATCACCACCCAAAATTAAGATTGTTTAGTTTCGCTTCTAACACTTTAATAGCTTCTTCTCTTTGCTTAGATTCAAGTAAACAAATTTTGGGTGTTCAATTTCCCACTCTCTAATTTACAGTTCAGTTTTAGTAATGCATGTTAATTTTTTTTGCAAATAGATAGCAAGAACCCTCAAGAGAGAAGAATTCCGTTCAACAATTCCACGTTCAACTTCAAGCTCAAGTGCAACGTCCTCATCTAACGGCTCTCTAGTTACACTCTATTTTTTTACAAATCACCCTACCAAATACTTTGTTCTTTAACTACTAACATTAAGCATTTCGTAAGTTCGTCAGAAGTATTATTAAGAAGACGCTAGCAACTACTTAAAACAGTAATTCCGTCAGCAAGACAGGCATCATCAGGAAGAAAGAAGCCGCATCACGATCACATTGATTAAATTTAAGTTTTTGAGTTATTTCCTCATAGATATAGAAATATTTAATAGTATACTAAGAAAGTCGGAATTTCAAAGTACTTTGGGTATAAGTTTATACGAAACCTGATAAATATTTGTCGCAAGTTTTTGAAGAGAACATTAAATGTTTGCAAGAGAATTTATCCAACTTTATGCAAGGTAAGTTCAAGTTAAACTTTCATGGGTCGTAAAACGTGAAATATTCAAATATAGTTCGTGTAACCAGCGCACTCGCCACCGTATTTGGCGGATAACAACGTCTCCGTATACAAAACTTGTGAAGACTGAAAATATATGTTACAACCGATTTACAATTATGCAGGCTCACTTACAATAAAATCTTTAATGTTACTGTACTGTTGACCTCTTCATATACAAAGTGATTCACTAGCCGTGTTACAAACTCTGACAGTAGAAAAAATGTTATGTTATGTATACAAATGTTATCAGTTTTTCTATTGGAGCAGAAGGGTAAAGCGAAAATAAAATTACATCAGAAACAGTAAAAGAGTAAAAAACGACAATAGATAAAAGTACAATAAAACAAAAACATGTTTAAAAGTTATTTTGTAAGTAATATAAAAAGAAAACAATAATAACACTGGTCAACAAAATTTAAACTTTTTTTGTCACACGAAAACTTATACCAAATTTTGAATGTACTATGGCCACCAAACAATAATATATCAATGGAAAAAAATTGACACATCAGGTTTCTTTGTGACATCAAGACATATATTTTTATAAAAAGTACAAAAATCACTAACACTTAGAAAAAATATTCCTTAATGTACAATAAATAGCTATGATTTTCGTGAATGTTTGGCTTCTGGTAGGTCCCTTTTAAGTCTCCAACAGTAATCTGCTAGCATTCCTGGACTCCATTTCCCTTGATAGCGCTTTTCTATTAAGGAAATGTCCTGATGAAATCTCTCGCCTTGTTCGTCACTCACAGCACCCAAATTCTCGGGAAAGAAATCCAGATGAGAGTGCAGCATATGTATTTTTAAAGACATATTACATCCCAAAGCTTTGTATGAAATTATAAGCTCATTGATTAAGTCTTTGTAATTTTCCGCTTTATGGTTTCCTAGAAAATTTTGGACAACATTCACAAAACATTTCCAGGCGACTTTTTCCTGATCATTCAGCTTTCCTTCAAAGTTTGTATCCTTCATTAGTTGCCGTATTTGTGGACCAACAAATATTCCCTCTTTAATTTTTGCCTCGCTGAGTTTGGGGAATTTCTCTTTCAGGTATAAGAATCCACTGCCATCTTTAGGCATAGCTTTTACAAAATTTTTCATCAGGCCGAGCTTTATATGCAACGGTGGTAAAAGTATGTCGTCAGGGTTCACTAAAGGATCATTTTTAACATTCTTCTGCCCTGGAGTAAGTGATTCACGCTT